TTTGACTAATCCCAAATCGATAATTGTACGTCCGCTTATAATCATTTCAACAAAAGATTTTATCGTATCCAACATCTAAAAAAGTTAATTAAACATGAATAAAGATTAAATGTATACAAGGATCTAATTATAAATTAAGAAATGAGAGATGTACATTTTTCTTTCTACATTCACACATATAATGTAATTTATTAATTCCTTGTCAATTTACAAGCATATTTATAACTTAAAATTAATAGAAATAATAAATAAGTTTTAACCTCTTCAGTTCCCGTTTCGGTGACGTGACAAGTATTTCAATACACCTGTAATGTGGTAGATAATCACAAAGACAATTCGGGTACTTATCGTCTACTATGTTAAAACATCTTGCATTTTCTAAATTATTCGTGACGCTGTAAACAATTAAAATATTACCTTAATCATATGAAAATTTTTATAATAAAAATTATATATGTATGCGTATAATAAAAAAAGAAAGATTATCGAGAAATAATGATAATGTCGAATCTAATATATCTATACTTACAATTCTGGTTTCCAAAATACAGAATCGACAAGCAATATATAATACATTGCAATGTAGACCAAGTCTTCTAGCCACGCTATGAAATATTGTATATACAATGATATCTTGACCAAATTTATTTTGTAAAACCTGTGACAGGTATAATACAAAACAAATTAATCAAAGCGAGAGAATATTAAAAACAACATATAACGTATACATATATGGCCCATAATTATATATTATAATCTATAATAACTTACATAATCTATACACAACCATTTGAATCTTCGGGTACATATGAGGAGATATGCTCGAAAGTTCAAGATGCCAAATATATATTCCTGAAGTGTATCCATAATCTGCGTACTTTCTGTTTCATTCCAATGATTATCTTTGATATTGTTGGTTTTCCAATAAGAAAAAGTTTCTTCAGACGTGGAGAATATCGAATGGTTCGGATGCTTCTCCCTGAGACGATTCCGTACCTTTTGTGCGATTGTATCCAATGATGCACTTACATTCGTGTAACATACATCTTTTCGAGGTTGAATTTGTTGTGCTATGAAAGTACAAATTTTTCTAAAAGCTGTTCTATTTCAGGTTTGTCTCTATATCTGTCCAACTCATTTCCTATCGAGGATAGCTTCGCATAGTGAGACATTTTTATTGCAATAACTTTCGATTGATTTGCGATCCCTAAAAAATGTATATTGAAGTATTAACTAATGAATAAATACATTAAAATGTAATAATAGTAGCATTATAATATATATGAAGATCCTACTGTGGAAAATGTGTTAACAAGTATTTAATCTCCTCAATATAAAACATATATTTCAGCTCATCTATAGGCTCATGTATACGTTCTAAAGTAATTTCATTTTCTATCAATAGATCTACATAATCATCGATATTACCACTGAATTCTCTTGCAATATTTTGCAATTTCAATACATTTTCAATTGAGTTTTCGAAGTAATTTTGATTTGATCCATTATTGTAATAATAATCATAAAAAAGAATTGAGACAAATAATTTCGCAATTGTGTCGCAGAATTTATGCCTATTGTAACAAAGTTTATGTATTTTTTTTTTTTTTTCCGTAAGACTTTCATATGTTTTCTTCGCATAGGGCCATCTAAAATACGACCATAAGATATTGTAATAAATTTTTGATAATGATACTTAGTGTTGTGTCAAGATTAATTTATAAATTAGCTGGATAAAGATGAGATAAAAGTATGTAAATTAATCTTAGATAGGATAAAAATGATTTTGCTTTAAGTATATTTAGATAAAAGATATAATTATGACGATTTATTTAGATGATTGTGTAGATAATAATATTTAAGACTGCTTATGTAAACACAGTTATACAAGAAATATAAGTTACAAAAAGATACAATAATATATATATTCATATTTTTATCGCTTTCTTGATAACTTTAAGTATTTCAATGTGCTATGATTCTAAATCAAAGTTATCTGAAAATTATTTTAAATAAATAATATAGTAAAGGTAGTACTTTTTGTATTTATTTGTAAGATGCATATATAAAGATAATACATAATTTTATTATTTATATGTAGATAAGATAACGCCATAGTTCTTCCATTTAAGTTTATTTAGATAACACACAGCAAACTTTGATGATAGTAAACAATGTGATTGCACAAGTAATTTTTCAAATTAATAAATTTTTAAAAGTATACAATTCAAAGCATGAGTATATATATGTCACTTTTTTTATACTTTAATCAGAAAAGAAGATATATAATAGTCAATTTTAATTTGTAATTTAATTCATATTCTCTCTGCTCTCTCTCTTTTCAAATTTGATTCCAATATGTATATTGCATAATTCTATAAGTTTATTCTATATGCAATTAATAAACATTAATGTGCTTATGTGTATGTATACGAATATATCATTAATATAATTTTTATATTTAAAAATGCAATTAAATATATTGAACAATACACATTATAATAAATAAATCAAGTCACTTTTACGTTGCATTTTTAATATAAATTAAAAAAAAATTATTGAATGACTGAATATTTTTCGACCGATATGCATATAAACTAATTAATATTTATTTAATTAATTACACAACGTTTCATATAATTTTAGGCCTTCTCAAGTGTTACTGTTAAGTTTGCAAAGGTCCAAAATTATATGGTCGAAACACCGTGGTCAAAACAATGTGCGATTAATTAAATAAACATCAATTGACGAATGTCGGTTGAAAATATTTGGTTATTAATTTATGACAGTCGAAAATTAAGAATTCTTCTCAGTATATTATATTTAACGTTTACATTCCATATATATATATATATATATATATATATATATGTATATTATATATGAATATATATAACGGTAGAGTTTGCCAAAAATTGAGCAATAGAAAAAATGAAAGCGAATAATTTAATATGCAACATAAATGCAACATACCTAATTTTCTAATATTTTGTATTATTATATATTTATAATATACGTTCTTCGCAGAAATGATAATCATTGTGCGACAGGCGTTAATGAGACAAAATAACAAAAAGATTTACAAACCACAAGAATTACCTTTGAGATAACTTTTTCCAAGAACTTGTTATATTTGGTTGCTGCATAACGAAATTGCTGGCACACGCATCGAAAGTTGATGATATCCTCCATAGTGATAACATTACAGCCGAGAATGATGGTTATTATCTCCTCTGGTAAGCACGTTATCTTATAATCAGACATTATGAGAAACAAAACACAAAAAGGAATGTAAATTAAAGTGATTGCAATAAACTATTCGCGTAATTAATTCCTTGCTTTTCGCAGTACACGAAATGAGTTTGCCGATTACAAAGAGCACAGATGTGTGTTTGATGTATACGAGAGACGTTTTCTACGATACAGACGGTCTGTTCTTTATTATGAAATGTGACCCCAAATTTTAAAGCCTTTTTGCTTGTTTTCACTAAGATATAGGTATAAGAACTTGCACAGCATGCGCAGAAAATGTAATTAAGAACTAGTAAAAATTACCACTTTTTCCTGTGCTCTTGAAAGATAGAACGTGGTAAATAATTTATTTATTAATTATTCTTTATTATTATTATTTATTTATGTATTGTTCTCTATTTAAGTTTAATTAAAATAATATATTTTTCCAAATTTATCAGTTATTTCAAATCTTACTAATTTCCATGTATTTGTATTATTTATTATTTAAGCTTAATTAAAATAATTTTATTTCAAGTTATCATTTATTTTATTAAATTTTACCAACTTTTATGTATTTATATTTTACAATTTACAACTCCAGTGCAGTGCATTATGAAATGTTCTCGATAAGAGAGAAAGGGAAAGAGAGAGATTTACATTTTGCATTTTTCAAATCTTAACAGATAAAATTCTCAGCTAAAATAAAATTTCCGACTTACAATACGAATATTTAATAAATAATGCATGTACAAATAGTTTATATAAGAATATTCTACAATTTTATGTAGTTTTATTTGCGTGTATATATAGGGTGTATATATTTTAATAATTCAAACTTTATAAGAATATAAAACTTCATGGATTAAATACTAACTCAAAATGAACAGACTATGCGAACTCAACGCAGATGTTTGTGAATAAATCTCAAATCGAGATTTTAATTTCTATGTTTTCTTTTGATTTCCCTACAAAGATGTAGAAAAGCAAAATATATCGGTCTAAAAGTCGCTGAATCGGAAACTGAGGAATTAAAATTGAGATTCTAAAATTGAGATGAATTTGCAACATCTGAAATTATGCTAATATCATACAAAATCTAATATCATTTATAAGCTTTTATCGTCTCCTTCAATACAAAAGAATTATGTATATTTGAAAATATAAAAATTATTGTCTTTTATTAACGTACCTATTTATACTTATACAAATGCAACACACTATCGATTATATAAGTTTCAAAATAATAGATATTAATAGATGGCAAATTTATTACGTCATATTTTGCATATATTGAAAGTGTTAAAAAAGTTATCAATTAGTTAATTTTTTATTTTTATTTTTTTTTTTTATTTATTAATTCTTTAGCACCAATTCAAATTGTTGCTGTCACAAAATTTTCTTACTTTATTATTTATATTAATTAATACAATAAATATCGCAGAAAGATAATAGCTATATTTTATTCATCGTTGAATTTCAATTGTCGAACATGTATGTATATATGTATATGTCAATAACATTCTATTATTAATTTAAGTTATTATGTTGGTCCGAATCTGTAGATTGATCTGTAGGATTATATATTATGATAATTTCTACAGCATATTTCACGTTTTCATTTATTATATGTTCTACTAATTAAAATAAGACAGAAACTGTAAAATTTTTACTTTGATTGATTTTTTGTGAATAAATGCCTCAATAAACACTTAAAACACGTAAAATTATAGAAAATTGTAAATTATACATAATTGTTATCTGAAAATATCTCACAAAGCTCTTTATTTTTACAATGGTGCATGTTATATACTAATATGCGATTATGTTAGTGCGCGTATGTTTTTACATTATACAATTCACTTCGACTAAGTCCAATTTGTTTATTTTATGTCCTATTATAAACCTTTCAACTAAAATTTCTATTGTGTGCGTAATCTAAAAAAGTTAATTAAACATGAATAAAGATTAAATGTAAACAAGGATTTAATTATAAATTAAAAAATGAAAGATGTACATTTCTCTTCTTTCTATACACATATAATGTAATTTATTAATTGCTTCTCAATTTACAAGCATATTAATAACTTAAAATTAATAGATGTAATAAATAAGTTTCAACCTGTGCAGTTCTTATTGTGGTGACGCAATCTTTTTTATAACGCTTGTAAATTGGTAGAAAATCATCAAGACAGTTCGGGAAATTCTCGTCTCTTATGTAAAAACATCTTGCATTTTTAAATTATTCGTGACGCTGTAAACAATTAAAATATTATCTTAATCATATGAAAATTTTTATAATAAAAAATTATATATGTACCATATGCGTATAATAAAAAAGAAAGATTATCGAGAAATGATGATAATGTCGAATCTAATATATCTATACTTACTGCTTTGGTTTCCAAAATATACAGCATTGTTGAAAATTAAGTATCACTGCATCGCAACGTAGACCAAGTCTTCTAGCCACGCTATGAAGTATTGTATATACAATGATATCTTCACCAGATTTACTTTGTAAAACCTGTGCCAGGTATAATACAGAATAAATTAATCAAAGCGAGAGAATATTAAAAACAACATATAACGTATACATATATGGCCCAAAATTATATATATTATAATGTATAATAACTTACATAATCTATACACAAACATTTGATATCTTCGGGTACGAAGTTACATACTCGAAAATTTAAAGTGCCAAATATATATTCTTGAAGTGTATCCATAATCTGCGTACTTTCTGTTTTGTCCCCAATGATTATCTTCGATATTGTTGGTTTTCCAATAAGAAAAAGTTTTATTAGACGTGGAGAATATCGAATGGTTCGGATGCTTTTCTCTGAGACGATTCCGTACTTCTTGTGCGATTGTATCCAATGATGCACTTACATTCGTGTAACATACATCTTCTCGAACTTGAATATATTTTGACATGAAAGTACACGTTTCTTCCAAAAGTTGTTTTTTTTTCTAGTTTGTCTTTATATCTGTCCAACTCATTTCGTATCGAGGATAGCTTTTCATAGTGAGACATTTCTATATTGCAATATCTTTCAATTGATTTGCGATCAATTCTTCTAAAAAATTTATATATATTGAATTATTAACTAATGAATAAATACATTAACTTGTAATAATAGTAGCGTTATAATATATATGAAGATCCTACTGTTGAAATTGTGTTAACCAGCATTTAATCTCCTCAATATAAAATGTATATTTCAGCGCAATTATAGGCTCACGTTCAGGATAAACTCGATTTAAACGATTTACATATTCATCGATATTACCACTGAATTTCTTTACCTTATCATTGAATTTCAATACAGTATGAATTGAGTTATCGAAGTAATTTTGATTTGATTTATTCTTGAAATAATAATCATAAAAAAGAATGTGAGATAAATAATTTCGCAATTGTATTGCAGAATTAATGCCTATTGTAACAAAGTTTAGGTTTTCTTTTTTTTTTCTTTTTCCGTAAGACTTTCATATTTTTTTTTTGCATAGGGCCATCTAAAATACGACCATAAATATTGTAATAATTTTTGATAATGATACTTAGTGTTGTGTCAAGATTAATTTATAAATTAGCTGGATGAAGATGAGATAAAAGTATGTAAATTTATCTTAGATAGGATAAAGATGATTTTGTACTAAGTATATCTAGATAAAAGATATAATTATATGACGATTTATTTTATTTAATTGTTTAGATAATAATATTTAGGACTGCTTCTGTACACACAGTTATATAAGAAATATAAAGATACAAAAATATATGTATTCATATTTTCATTTATAAATTTTTATCGTTTTACTGTCTGCTTTAAGTATTTTAATGTGCTATGATTCGAAACCAAAATTATATGAAAATTATTCTAGATAATAATATAGTAAAGGTAGTACTTTTTTTTATCTACTTGTAAAATGCAGATATAAAGATAATACATATTTTTATTATCTATTTGCAAATAAGATGACGCCACAGTTCTGTGTATAGATTAAGTTTTTTTTAATATTTTGTAGAACAATTTTTTCGAAAGCATATTTACAAACAATGTCGACTGTGCTTATATATGTCACTTGGCATGTTTTTACTTTTATAAAGATTTTATTGTGATTTTAATGCTATTATATGAAAAGGACCGATAGAAACATATCAAATCTGTCTGTTTCTATCACGAATATATATCATATATATAATGTTTATATTTAAAAATGCAATTAACTATATTGAAGAATACACATTATAATAAATAAACAAAGTTACTTTTATGTTGTATTTTTAATAATTAAATCTAAAAAAAATTATTGAATGACTGAATATTCTTCGACCGATATATATATAGGCTAATTAATATATATTTAATTAATTACACAACGTTTCATATAATTTTTGGCCTTCTCAAGTGTTACCGTTAAATGTGCGAAAGACCAAAATTATATGGTTCAAACACCGTGGACGAAACGTTGTGTGATTAATTAAATATACATCAATTGACGAATGTCGGTTGAAGAATATTTGGTCTTAATTTTTGACAGCCGAAAATTAAGAATTCTTATCAGTATATTATATTTAACGTTTACATTCTATATATATATTTATATATGTATATGTATATTATATATCTATATATTGTATATAACGGTAGAGTTTGCCAAAATTATTGAGCAATAGAAAAAATGAAATCGAATAATTTAATATGCAACATAAATGCAACATACCTAATTTTTCTAATATTTCGTATTTATTATATATTTATAATATACGTTCTTCGCAAAAGTGATATACATTGTGCGACAGGCGTTAATGAGACAAAATAACAAAAGATTTACAAATCACAAGAATTACCTCTGAAATAACTTTTTTCCAAGAACTTGTTATATGTGGTTGCTGCATAACGAAATTGCTGGCACACGCATCGAAAGTTGATGATATCCTCCATAGTGATAACATTAGAGCCGAGAATGATGGTTATTATCTCTTCTGGTAAGCACGTTATCTTATAATCAGACATTATGAGAAACAAAACACAAAAAAGGAATGTAAATTAAAGTGATTGCAATAAACTATTCGCGTAATTAATTCCTTGCTTTTCGCAGTACACGAAATGAGTGTGCCGATTACAAAGAGCACAGATGTGTGTTTGATGTATACGAGAGACGTTTTCCACGATACAGACGGTCTGTTCTTTATTATGAAATGTGACCCCAAATTTTAAAGCCTTTTTGCTTGTTTTCACTAAGATATAGGTATAAGAACTTGCCACAGCATGCGCAGAAAATGTAATTAAGAACTAGCAAATTTATTATTTTTTCTTATGCGCTTGAAAGATAAAACGTGGTAAATAATTTATTTATTAATTATTCTTTATTATTACTATTTATTTATGTATTGTTCTCTATTTAAGTTTAATTAAAATAATATATTTTTCCAAATTTATCAGTTATTTCAAATCTTACTAATTTCCATGTATTTGTATTATTTATTATTTAAGCTTAATCAAAATAATTTTATTTCAAGTTATCATTTATTTTATTAATTTTACCAACTTTTATGTATTCATATTTTACAATTTACAATTCCAGTGCTGTGCATTATGAAATGTTCTCGATAAGAGAGAAAGGGAAAGAGAGAGATTTACATTTTGCATTTTTCAAATCTTAACAGATAAAATTCTCAGCTAAAATAAAATTTCCGACTTACAATACGAATATTTAATAAATAATGCATGTACAAATAGTTTATATAAGAATATTCTACAATTTTATGTAGTTTTATTTGCGCGTATATATAGGGTGTATATATTTTAATAATTCAAACTTTATAAGAATATAAAACTTCATGGATTAAATACTAACTCAAAATGAACAGACTATGCGAACTCAACGCAGATGTTTGTGAATAAATCTCAATTCGAGATTTTAATTCCTATGTTTTCTTTTGATTTCCCTACAAAGATGTAGAAAAGCAAAATATATCGGTCCAAAAGTCGCTGAATCGGAAACTGAGGAATTAAAATTGAGATTCTAAAATTGAGATGAATTTGCAAAATCTGAAATTATGCTAATATCATACAAAATCTAATATCAATTATAAGTTTTTATCGTCTTCTTCAATACAAAAGAATTGTGTATATTTGAAAATATAAAAATCATTGTCTTTTATTAACATATCTATTTATACTTATACAAATGCAACACACTATCGATTATATAAGTTTCAAAATAATAGATATTAATAGATGGTAAATTTATTACGTCATATTTTGCATATATTGAAAGTGTTAAAAAAATTATGAAACTAATTAATTTTTTTATTTTAAGATTTATTAATTTTCTGCACCAATTCAAATTGTTGCAGTCACAAAATTTTCTTATTTTATTATTTATATTATCTAATACAATAAATATCGCAGAAAGAATATAGATATATTTTATTCATCGTTGATTCTCAATTGTCGAACATGTATGTATATATGTATGTGTCGATAACATCCTATTATCTATTATGTTGGTCCGAATCTGTAGATTGATCTGTAGGTGGATTAGATATTATGATAATTTCCATAGCATATTTCACGTTTTAATTTATGTGTTCTACTATTTAAAATAAGACAGTAAAATTTTTACTTTGATTGATTTTTTGTGAATAAATGCCTCAATAAACACTTAATACACGTTAAATTATAGAAAATTGTAAATTATACATAATTGTTATCTGAAAAAATCTCACAATGCTCTTTATTTTTACAATGGTATATGTTATATACTAATATGCGATTATGTTAGCGCGCGGATGTTTTTTACACATTACAATACACTTGGATCAATCCCAAATTGAATATATTATGTTCCTTCATGAACCATCCAACTAAAGTTTTTATCATGTTCAACATCTGAAAAAGGCAATTAAACATGAATAAAGATTAAATGTAAACAAGGATCTAATTATAAATAAAGAAATGAGAGATGTACATTTCTCTTTTTTCTATACACATATAATGTAATTTATTAATTGCTTGTCCATTTACAAGCATATTAATAATTTAAAATTAATAGATGTAATAAATAAGTTTTAACCTGTTCAGTTCTTATTTCGATGACATCATGTGTTTCACAAACTCGTAATAGTGTAGATTATCATGAAGACAATTCGGGAAATTTTCGTCTTTTATGGAAAAACATCGTATATTTTCTAAATTATTCGTGACGCTGTAAACAATTAAAATATTACCTTAATCATATGAAAATTTTTATAATAAAGATTATGTATGTATGCGTATAATAAAAAAAGAAAGATTATCGAGAAATAATGATAATGTCGATTCTAATATATATCTATACTTACATTTCTGGTTTCCAAAATATATATATTCGATTAAAAACAGCTAGTACATCTCAACGTAGACCAAGTCTTCTTGCCACACTATGAAATATTGTATATACAATGATATCTTGACCAACTTTACTTTGTAAAACCTGTGCCAGGTATAATACAGGACAAATTGATCAAAGCGAGAGAATATTAAAAACAACATATAACGTATACATATATGGCCCATAATTATATGTATTATAATCTTTAATAACTTACATAATCTATACACAAACATTTGATATCTTCGTGTAACAAGATACATCGAAAGTTCAAAGTGCCAAATATATATTCCTGAAGTGTATCCATAATCTGCGTACTTTTTGTTTCGTCCCAATGATTATCTTCAATATTGTTGATTTTCCAATAAGAAAAAGTTTCATCAGACGTGGAGAATATCGAATGGTTCGGATGCTTCACTTTGACACAATTCAATACCTGTTGTGCGATTGTATCCAATGATGCACTTACATTCGTGTAACATACATCTTTTCGAACTTGAATATATTTTGACACGAAAGTACATGTTTCTTCCAAAAGCTGTTCTCTTTCAGGTTTCTTTTTATATCTGTCCAACTCATTTCTTATCGAAGATAGCTTCGCATAGTGAGACATTTTTATTTTGCAATAACTTTTGATTGATTTGCGATCCCTAAAAAATGTATATTGAAGTATTAATGAATAAATACATTAAATTGTAATAATAGTAGCATTATAATATATATATATAAAAATCTTACCGTGGACATTGTGTTAACAAGCATTTAATCTCCTCAATATAAAACATATATTTCAACACATCTATAGGCTCATGTGCACGTTTAGGATGAAATTGATTTACATATTTATCTATATTACCACTGAATTCCCTGACATCTTCGAAATTCAATACTTTATGGATTGAGTCATCGAAGTAATATTCATTTGATCTATTATTGTAATAATAATCATAAAAAGAATGTGAGACAAATATTTTCGCAATTGTATCGCAGAATTTATGCCTATTGTAACAAAGTTTATGTTTTCTTCATTCTTTGTTTCTTAAGAACTTCATATCTTTTCTTTGCTTAGGGCCATCTAAAATACGACCATAAAATATTGTAATAAATTTTTGATAATGATTCTTA